AAAAAAAAAAAAGAAGATTCTTAATATAAAGAAAATCTTACAATTTTAGTTCTTCAAACCCTTTGCTATTGGTTAAGAACTATCTTAACTATTTAGATTTAAAATGCCAAGAAAATGTTTTCTATGCGTTTATATTTTTCTACCCATTTCACTCTACCACATCTTTTGCTGTTCTTGAATCTTCAGTTTTCATGACAATTATCCTTTTACTTTCTCCTAAATCTTCATTTTATAGGCAAATAGTAAGCAGAAGTCAAACTGAAATGCTATGATGATGTATAAAGTAAGCAAGATTCCAAGATTATCTTAATCACCAAATGGCAAGGAAATGTTTTTGACCTCTATTATGTGGATGTATCACTAATAATGGAAAATCATAGCCCTTAAAAAAAATAAATAAATAAATAAGGGAACACTTTTGGAACCCTCACAGTATACTTTAATTCTAAAAGATGAATGAAAATTAAAATATTATCCATAAATATGATTGTGGTAGTTAAGATTGTATGTCAACTTGGCTGGGCCTGGTTGAGTGGCTGGGCAGCTAGTGTTAGTTATTCTTCATGATGAGACTGGCAATCAAGTCCATGGTGGAATTTGCCAGTGAACAATTGAGTACCTACTTTAGGAATGTGGTCTTCTTCCTGTATATAAGGAAAAGCCTTGGGAATGGTCTCTAGCTTTTTGACACGCTCGAACCCTGCATGTAGCCAAGTCATTGTTCAGCAGTCTGCCATGCTCTGTTGATCTTGGTACTTTTTCTGGACTTGAATTAATGGCCTGCCACGTGCTTTGGTAATACTGGGACTGTGTCTTTTTACTTGTTGACCTTGGGTTTGTCAGCCTCAGCAGCCAGCAGCTGCCTGAGTAAAGAAAAGCCTCCAGCTTCAGTGGGCTGGGAGCAGGAGGCAGAACTGTAGTCAAAGTTGAGGGGCCTTCTCCCAGCCCCTAGAGCCTGACACTGTGAACTCAGACTTCTAGCCTCCCAAACTATAAGAGAATAAACTCCTGTTTGTTAAAGCCATCCTATTTGTGGTATTTTCCGTTAGAGCAGCATGTGGTAACCAAAACAATGATAATATGCATATTAACTTTCAAACTATGGTCATTCGATGCCATCATCATACATTTCAACTACTGTATAATATTAATCTAAGTTATTCACGACACACAACTCATGACAACTCCCTCTTTTTCCAACCTAGTTCTCTGAATGCAGACTGACCTCACATTCCTTCAAATACACGATTTTAGTTTGAAGTACATTACTACTACTATTTGATAAGTCTATACAGCTATAAAGAAAGGTACAATGTAGACCAAAAACAAAAAAAATAAACAGAATACTTACTGGTTCTGTTAGTGTTGTATCTTTCTCCAGGAACTGTACAACACAATAGGCTAGCTAAAATGTAAAACATGGTTTATAAGTGTTACTCAGTGAAACTGCATTCAGATGCAGAATTTAAAAATGTTTAGCTAACAAAAATGACTACCCAATTTTCACAAATTATATTCTATCTTATTTCAATATATAAAAATTAAGATATGTACTCACAATCGTGTAACTTCTTAAACCTTGAAAGCGTAACTCTCAGTTCAAAAAAGATATGCTTTTTTAGTAGTAATTTGTAACTATAACCCTAAAAATCCAGTGTCATCAAGTTGATTCCAAATTATAGCAACCCTACTCATAGGACTGAGTGGAACTGCCCCAAAGGGTTTCTAAAGCTATAAATCTTTACAGAAGCAGACTGCCTCATCTTTCTCCTGCGGAATGGCTAGTGGGTTTGAACCACTGAGTTTCTGGTTAGCAGCTAAATGTTTTAACCACTACAGCATGCTTCTACATGTATTTTAATACCTATAATAAGGTATTACAGGTAGTCCCTGACTCACGATGTATTTTGAGTTTTGACAAATCGCACTTAAAATCATCTTTTCAGTACATCTTATTGTTAGTATGTATGCAACATACAATGTTGGAGTGCATAATTTGCTAATGTTATCTTTCTCATGCCAACCCCAAAAGACAAAGATAAGATTTATAGATATTGATAATAAAAGGCAGCAATAATTAACATTTTTTTTAAAAAAAGAGGTATTTGGCTTACATCAGAACTGACCCTATGACGGAGTCATCGAAACAGAACCCTGTCATAAGTTAGGGATGACCTGTATGTAGTCACTGAATGGTAATAGAGAAGACTAAAATCATTCTCTAACTAGGCTATCAGAACTGGAAGGAACATTCTGGAGATACGTGGGATTTACTCAAAACCATATAGTTAATTAGGTCAGGCAGGATCCAGACTAGAAAGTTAGGGAATTTGATATAAATTATCTTTTCTGTATCTATACTTAAAGTGTATTGATCTTATTTAATGACAATAAATTTCATGATTCTTTTAAGTTATGGTATGATAAAATGTGCTTTGAGTATTTACAATACAAATTGCTTAATTATATTTAAAACTGTCACCTCAATGTTTCTCAATTTCTCTCCCTTATATGTTAGTCTTTAAAACAATATTCATTTCATTTGAAAATTTTCTTAAACTTACCTGAGCATGAAACAAAGCTAATCCTTTTGCAGTATGCATAGGAATAAGAACCTTCATTAGAAACTGTTTATGTTCTGCTTTCAGTGGCAATGCAAAGCCATTGATAATACTGGAGGGAAAAAAGGCAGGGGGAAGGGTAAGTATTTACTACTTTCTTTCTAAAAGTTATTTTATCCATGAGTACATTTAAGGAACAGTATTCTGCTTCAGTCTTTGTGCTGTATGGCTTTACTCATCTATGAATAAACTACTTTAGAAAAAATTTACTATGTTGTCTGTCCCCTAAGTCATTCAATGGTGCCAAAAGGAAAATAGGACTACTAATTCATGATCCACTAGGTAATTTCTATCTTTGTTTTCTATAAAGCCTGTCCCTTCATTTATGCCTTGTTGCCTCCATTTTTCCTTCCTAAAGCTGCAGGAGTAGTCAACATCCCAATATTATCTTCTTAGAATTTTCTGAAGCAAATGGGTAGTTCCTTTTATTTCGTTAGTTGTTGTTGTTATGTGCCATCAAGTCGGACCCAACTCATAGTGACCCTCGCTGGATTTCCGAGGCGGTATTACTACGGAAGTAGATTGCCCAACCTTCCTTCTGAGGAGTGGCTGGTGGGTCTGAACTGCCAGCTTTCTGGTTAGCAGTCAAGTGCCTTAGGCACTATGCTACCAGAGCTCCTTTATTTTGTTGGGGGAGCTGAAATTAAGAAGTAGTACTCTCTATAGTCACTCTCTAAATATTACAGAGGAGACTAAAATCATTCTCTAAACAGTAATAATACCAAACCAAACCCACTGTTGAAATCAAATCGATTACGACTCAGAGTGAGACCCCTACTGGGTTTTCCAAGGCTGTGAATCTGTACAGAAGTAGACAGCTTCTTCCTGCAGAGTAGCTGGTGAGTTTGAACCGCCAACTTTCTGGTTAGCAGACAAATGCTTTATGCCACTATACCACTATGCCACCAGAGCTCCTAAATAGTAATAAAGAGGTAGAAAATTCTCCCAAGGTGCTATTGCTATGCAGTGAATAAGAAACGCAAAATACTCATGTAAATGAAAACCAAAGACTTCAGATTCTTCTAAAATGAACAGATGGATTAGGAACACTCTATCAACATCTGAACAAGAATTCTTATAAATTCATTTAAGGATTCACTATAACTTATTTCATCTCTTCCCAATTAGATCCTATGAATTCCCATGGCAGTCTGGCTGTTTGGCGAGATCAGACATAAAACAAGCCACAGCTTCAAAAGCAGGAAGTCTGTTCTAAAATACACATCGTGCATGGCAGTACTTTAATATGCTGGCCCTCTCAAGAGCTGAAATGAGAATTCAGCTGAGAAGCTATGTCTTGTGCTCCATATTTAAGTCCAAAAATCTAAAATAATTTCTCCAATCCCAGCTAAGATTTTGATATATGAAACAAAGCTCTTAATTCTTAAAAAGAACAACAAAAACTTGACCTACCTTCCTAGTATTTCAAGGAGTTCAGCAACACCATTGAAATGTTCTGTTTCATATATAAACCTTAATTTAAAATAAAGATATGACAGGAATCAAACATCAAAAAATAAACAGAGAGAAAGACAGGAAGGTAAAGAAATCAATCCAAGGGCCAACTACAGTCAACACACATGCATGCTCTAGGTTTTCTCTGTAAGCTATTTTGTCCCAAATAAGTTACTTATAATAGCCTTACAAAAGTTCTACTTCCTAATGAACCACATATGCCACTATTAAAACTTGCTGCTCATTAATGTAACAGATTATTGTTTGACCAGGAATATTTTATTTTACATGATAATTTATGAGAAAGATGAGTTTTCTCAAAGAAATACTTTTCAAAATAGAAAATCTCTATTTTTCTATAGGAAAATCCAAGAGAAAAAGACCAGTATCTAATAAAGCCATTTTTATTCAGAACTTTATAAACCTTAAGTTTAGGATTGCATAGGGTCATCAACTCAAATGACTGCAGGACCGCCTGGTTTCATAAATTACTGAAGTGGACGAGGAGGGGATGACAGGGCACTGGAGAAACATGCTCTGTTTAAAGGAGGCAGCTGTTACTCATCTCACTGTGGCAATAACAGCCTAGCTCTCTACAACTTTAATTTAAACAAACAAATCTGAAACATTGGTGTTAATGTGAAATGTCATGATTTGAAGTAACTACTTAATAGATTAACATTTATAAAGTACTCAAAAATAAGTCTTCTGTAAATCTAATCAAATGAAAGTACTTCTAAGAACTATTGGTTAAAAAAATTATATACATAATTTTAAAGGGAAAACTAATTTTAAAGTTATAGATAATAAAATATAATTTGATTTTGCATGTATTCTTGTTACCAGGAATTCTTTTCTTTGATTTTAAAATCTAAAAATACAATACCACAAAGAGAAATTCATCTTTACTCAAATCACTCTACTTATTTTTAAGATAATTTTTGTGATGTGATAAGATACATCCTACAATAGTGTTCACTTTAAGATGAAAATAAACTGCTTAAAGGATATTAGCTGATGCTTTAGAATGACAATACATAAAACTCAAAGGCTGGGTTGATTCTATTTCTAGAAGACAATACAAATTTTTAACGAAAAACTTCAAAAAAATAGACAAACTAGATAAATTCTACTCTTAATCTTTAAAACATGACTAATACTGACATTACCTGTTACAAACTGTCCTCATTACTACCATCTACTTAGATAAGTAATAGGTTACAAGTTTAGATACAATTAAAAGATGTCTATAAAATAGGCTAATGACGATTCAAATGTCATCAGGTAAATTTGCAGTCCTCAGATCTGGAAGGAAAAAATGGAAAAGTGCTATGTATGACTTACTTACCTGAGGAAAATGTTGTTAATCTGTTTCCTGATGAATGCTCTTAATCCAAGAAATTTCCCATATATTCGATGCAGAACAGTCTTCAGAAAGTCACGTTCTCTGGGATCTTCACTATCAAAAAGCTCCAGGAGCTTTAAAAAAAATCTGAGAAATTACTTTTAAAAAATAACCGAGCTAAAACTTCACTTTATTCTAATTCTGATTTTAAGGTTACTCATGAAAAAAAAATTAAAAAGACTCAGCCCAATCAGATTCATTTTTTGCTAAATAATAAAGCTGAAGAAATGCTTAGGGAGTATTTCTTCTCACTTATTTCATTTCAAAAAATGAAATAAACACAACAAATAATATAAACATTTCAATAAATGTTCATTTTTTTTCCTTCTCTTTTCATGTTGAAATTCTGACTCCTGAATACTAACTATGGCCCAAAATTTCATGCTGAAATTTAAGAGATTGTTAATGCTTTTGCTAGTTAAGTCAAAAACAACATCCAAACTCTTAAGCTTTTAGACTACAAATCAAATGAAGTTTTAAAAATATGCACCTGTAAATGTTTATTTCTAGCTTACTGCAAAGATTAATAAAATCAGTGGGTTTTTGTTGTTGCTGTTGATTTTACACTGGGAAAAAAAATCAAGACAGTCACTGTGCCAATAACTCAAAAGTTTATTTTCAGTTATCAGAATAAAATATTGGCAGATAGATGCTAACAGAGTGGAAATCATATATGAAATGTTGTTGTTGTTGTTGTTATGTGCTGTTGAGTTGGACCCGACTCATGGTGACCCCTCCTTGGGTTATGCTGTTAGGTGCTATCGAGTTGTCTCTGACTCACAGTGACCCTATGTACAGCAGTACAGCCCGGTCCTGTGCCAGCCCCACGATCCCTGATATCCCTGAGCCCACCGTTGTAGGCACTGTGTCAATGCATCTCATTGAGGGCCTTCCCCCTTTCACTGACCCTCCACTTTACCAAGCATGATATCCTTCTCTAGAGAATGGTCTCTTCTGACAACATGACCAAAGTAGGTGAGACGAAGTCTGGCCATTCTCGCTTTCAATGAGCATTCCAGCTGCACTTCTTCCAGGACAGATTTGTTAGCTCTTTTAGCAGTCCATGGTATTTTCAGCATTCTTCGCCAATACCACAACTCAAACGAATCGCCTCTTCTTTGGTCGCCTTTATTCACTGTCCAGCTCTCACATGCATATAGGCGATTGAAAATACCATGGCTTGTGTCAGGTGCACCCTAGTCTTCAAGGAGGTATCTTTGCTCTTCAGCCCTTGAAATAAGTCTTTTGCAGCTGATTTGCCCAGTGCTCTATGTCGTCTAGGAGCTCTGGTAGTGTAGTGCCTAAGCATATGATTACTAACCAAGACATATGATTACTAACCAAGAAGGTCAGTGGTTCAAACCCACCAGCCACTCCTTGGAAGGAAGGTTGGGCGATCTACTTCCGTAGTGATATTGCCTTGGAAACCCAAGGAGGGGTTGCTATGAGTTGGGTCTGACTCCATAGCAGTGAGTTGGTTTGGTTATATGTTGTCTGATATCCTGACTGCTGCTTCCACTGGTATTGACAGTAGAATCAAGTAATATGAAGTCTTTGACAACTTCAATCTTTTCTCCTTTTATCGTGATGATGCTTATTGCTTCAGTTGTGAGGATTTTGTTTTCTATATAAAGTGAGATGTAATCCATACTGCAGACTGTAGTCTTCAATCTTCATTAGACGTCATTGTCATTACGTGCCATCGAGTTGTCTCCAACACATAGTGACCCCTCCTTGGGTTTCCGAGGCAGTATCACTATAGAAGTAGATTGCCCAACCTTCCTTCTGAGGAGTGGCTGGTGGGTTTGAACCGTCACCCTTCTGGTTAGCAGTCAGATGCCTTAGACACTATGCCACCAGAGCTCCTGGTCATGACTTAAGTCGTATTTATCCCTGGGTGGTGCAAACAGTTAAAGTGCTAAGCTATTCGCTGAAACGTTGGCAGTTAAAACCCGCCCAGATACTCTACTTCTCTAGGTTACAGGCTTGATAAACCTTATGGACAAGTTCTACTTTGCACATGTCACCATGCGTTGGAACTGACTCAGTGGCAACTAACAATAAACAAGCACCTTGCTTAAGGTTTACATTCTTTATTTGCTATATTGTTAAGGTACTGCATGAAGCTCCAGTGAAAAATATCCACAGAATGTGAAATTTATGTAACATACCTAAAAAATTGAGTTCAGATTATTCTAACTAAAAATGGCTAAACTACTCAAGAGACTCAAATTCAAAATGCTATGTTGGGCTTAATTAGAAGATATCTCATAATACTAAAAGGTGTTTTTAATTGTTAAGGGCTTCATGTCTAATTCAATAACTAATAATTTAATAAAAGTTGACACTCTGGGGAAACATGCTAAACTTGATTAATAGTTGTTAGCTGAATTTCAAACCTATTTAAAGAAATATATCTTAAAATATAATAATCTAAACAGAATAACTTGTTTAGAAATACAATGTTCATATAATGAAAGACACACAAAGTAAAAATCAAGGAACTTTCTTATTCTGTCTCTGGGTATAAATATCTAACTGTGCTCTTAAAGGCAATTCATAATCTCAGGCTTTTTGTTCATTGATAAGATGAGGAAAGTTAGAACAGATTTTTGTTTTCAAGAGAAGATAGTATCATGGTCAGAGGTCCAGTTCAAATCCTGATTGTGCCACCTACTGGCTGTGTGCACACTGGTAACAGTCTAGCACTTAATATAATATACATAAAAGCACACAAGGACGGTGTCTGGCATATCAAAAGCACTCACCAATTCTTAGTTTCTTCCTTTCTTCTGAAATTACATGATTTGAACATAAATGAATTATGCAATTGTTTCCTTCTCTTGAAATAATGAAGGTTCCAATATATGCTTTTAAAATTTCTCCTGCATGTCTAAGTCTTAAAATTTACCACACAATCAAGTAATTTCAAGGTACAGAAACTGAGAATTACTATACATGTTATTTACTAAAGCAACACACTAAGAATGCTTCAGAGAGGTGATATGTGAAAGCACAGGCCTATAAACTGCTAAAAACAAAAATTACTGGACTTTGGCTTCTCAGATAATTCAGGCTTTTGTAGTAGAAGATGGAAAATGGGTCCCTACACAACCAGCTTTTTCCTTGCTTCCCTCAAACCTACCAAATAATCTAGTAGCCTCAATACCCCAACCTCCTAACTGAGAAAACACTTAGGCAATTGTTCCCCTCAACCTGCTATTATCATAAATAATTTAATATGGTATTATTAGACTTTCTTAATATACCCCACACAAGAGCTACAGAAGGAAAGTAGTATAAGTGCATTTCAATTACCAAAGCAATAATTCCATTTAATCTTTTACTCATGATTAAAATTGTGCTTTATACTGTTAACACACACCAGATATTTCTTTATAGTTTATGGAGATCCACCTCAATGGCTGAAGGATATACTTTAGGCTGGCAATGTTTTCATTTATCAACATATTTACAGCAATTAGAATACTTTCTATGAGGTCAGGGGTAGTTATGAATGACTAAAAATGAACTCTAAATATGTGAAACTCATGCTTGTTGAGTATCATAGAAGACACACAAGGTAGCCTGAAGGGTAGGGAAAGGTCCTTGCAATGATTTTAATCTGCCCTCAACCTTTCATCCATCTTCTATCCTTCTTTAAAATGCAAATAACTCTGTAAGAGGAGAGCATCAAATCCCTAATGAGGTCTACATACTGGTAAGTATCTCAAAAAAGAGAAAATGGATCTAAAAAGGTGTTGTTTACTTCACAATTTTGTCCAGGGCCAGCCTGCACATATAAAAAAGGTATCACATATGTTTAATTCTACCTTCTGTTTTTCTAAAAGATCCCATTTTCTGTGTGGTCAGAAATTGGGTGGCTAGACTGCCTAAGGTGGGAAAGGAAAGGGAAATGATACTTGATTCCAGGAAAGCTCAAACTCCTGATGATGCTTCCGTAAAGATACTCTTGCATTCTCAAGCTACTTCACTTTTACCCTAATTGGCAAGAATACTACTAAGGGCTGTCAAATGGAAACAAAGTTTCTGAAAGACTAAACAGCTCTAATCATAAGTTAATAAATCATTGCTAGTTTATGAATATAAGAAAATTTAAGACGTAAGAGTTCCTTACCTGTTGTACAAATTTCTGATCAATGTATCGTTTTGCAATGCTAGGCTGGAAATCAGGGCTTTCCAAAAATCTCAAGAAGAATTCATACACCAACTATGAAAGAAAGAGTCAAATGAAAAGTAAGATAATGCCTATAAAAGTCCACCCTAAAGGATCACTTCATACAAAAAGTGCATCTCTCCAAGTCTAACACTTAGTAGGGAGATTTTGGATCTCATTATAAAATGTAATCAGTTGGTAAGTTTTTTTTTTTTTTTTTAAATACAGGCTTTTAAAAAAACTAAATACACATTCACCATTCGCTCTCCAAAGCTGGTAGATTTTTGGATTTGTTACTTTGCACCACCTGTTGAAAACTGTTAAAACTACAGGAACTAGAAAAAAATGATGATGCCTATAAACATAGTAAATTAAAAAGTCTACATCACAGCCCACACTCACTAAGAATATGTTTCTTCTTCAGTGAAACACTAACTGACCACAATTTAAATCCAGACTCAGAAACCTTCAGGTAAGAGTGAACTGGTTTGTAAGGAACAATGCAACAAAAACAATAAAATAAATTTTAAAACTTACCATCTTTCTATAAAATGTTAAGGGGAAAAAAAAAAAAATCAATACCTGCACGCCCTATCCACAGTTGGGAAATAAGAGCCAAATTACATAAGTAAAGGGCTAGGGAAGGATATGCTGTGCAACACAGCAGATAAACTACAAGTTATAGCAGACCTTCTACTGAAAAAGTGCCAAGCACTGTACAAGTAATAAAAATGTTCATTTGCTACCGCAAGTCAGATTTAATAGCGATGTTTTGGCTTGACTTGCAACACACCCACATCTTTCAAGGAGAAATGCAAAACAGTTTTTTTTCCCAAAAAAATTATACCACTGTTATTATTGTTATCTGCCATCGAGTCAATTTCATAGCAATCCTAAGTACAAAAGAACGAAACAGTGTCCAGTTCTGTGCCCTCCTTAACGATCATTGCCCTCATAATCATTTAAGCCCACTGTTGTACCAACCCACTGTCACCAAGTCGATTTCAACTCATAGCGACCCTTTAGGACAAAGAACTGTCCCACAGGGTTTCCAAAGCTGTAAATCTTTACAGAAACAGACTGCCTCATCTTTCTCCCATGGAGAGTGGCTGGTGGGTTCGAACTGCTGACTTTTTGATTAGCGAACAAATGCTTTAACCACTGCACCACCTGGGCTCCTTTTTGTTGTACTATGGTAACAACTAATGGCATAATTTTAGTAAAAAATATGCCTTTATTAGCTATTAAACAACATATCAACCTGGTCCCCTAAAAACTAAAAAGGAGGATTATATCTCAAAGCAAAAAGTCATTCAATAAACACTTAGGCAGCCATATGGACCAGATACAGGAAAAAAAAGAGTATTAAAAAAATAAAAAGATACATAAAAAACAGGTTTATTCACTAACTTCACAGACCTCCCAGCATACAACAGCATTACTAGATTGGGGCTCTGTTATTCACCACAGAAATTTTTACCACCATGAGTTCTAATAATAGTATGGTTAACAACAGTTTTGAGATGTGAGTAAGTATTGTTTCCTTTGACACATCTTTGCCCATCTATACAAAAGGAATAATTCTTAGCTGGTCTAGTATTACTTAACTTTTTATATTTGCTATCAAAAGGATGTAACAACAACAAAAATGTTAGTGCCCAATTTTTTATTCACAGATAATTTTCTTAACTATCAATATAAATAATTTTCCTTTGAGGATATATATATGTTAAAGAGATATACAAAATATATCACAGCCTGCTCAGTAAAGTTAGCACAGTCTCATGATCTGTTACATGGCACAATTCATCAGAGTTGACAGCCCAACTTACTCAATGCCTATTTTAATGTCCAATGCCCGGCTACATATAATGTGAATATATATATATATATATATATATATATAAGGCACCATACAGACAGCCCCAAGAAGTTCATTCTCTAGTTAGGGAGATAAGACAAAAGCAAAAACATATAAAATGGTACATATACCCAAAGTATAAACAATTGGCCTCTACTTTCTTGGAGCAGCAGCAGCAGGAGAGTTAAGCAATTGACTGAGGAAGAACTGGAATGTGTGTCTAACTGCTTCCAGAAAAACTGCCTCCTTTGTCATGAGACCAGAAGGGCTGGATGGGGCTCAGCTACCAGTACTGAATGTTAAGATCAAAGAGTCTATAAAAAAAATCATGATCAAAAGGAGGAAGAGTGGGAATGTGGTACAGAATTTCAAATCTTACAGAATCCAGACTTTTTGGAGCCACTGAAGCTGGATGAGCCCTCAAAAACATTGGCCTGAGGTAATCTCTAAATCATAAACCAAAACTATCCCCTGAAGTCATCTTTAAACCAAACAATAGTTTAGCTTAATTAGTAAGAATGCCTGTTTGCTTTGAGCATCCCAGTCTTTTAAAAAATTACCTGCACATGATCAAATTGACAACAGAAACTCAAAAGGTTCAATTAGAAGCCTGAGGGTTTATAAACTTTACCAAAAACACAATAAAATATTACATGTAATAAAAGAAAAGGGGCTGCTGCAGGGGTAACCAGGCTGAGGCAGCAGTGGTGATATGGGCTGTGGTAGACCTATAGTGTTGGCCTGGGAAGAGGGATGAGTGCAGCAGCAAGGGTGACAGGCACATCTACATGGGGAACCGTCCAACTGATGTGCCCGAGAAGGACCTGGAAGACCTCTTCTACAAGTATGGCCACATCCCTAAGATTGAGCTCAAGAACTGGCTTGGCCCTGTGCCTTTCGCCTTCGTGCACTTCAAAGATTCCTGAGAAGCTGAAGATGCAATTTATGGAAGGACTGGTTATGATTATGGCCACTGTTGGCTTCATGTGGAGTTTTCCAGAACTTATGGAGGTCAGAGTGGGTGGTGGGAGAAATGGGCTCTGTACCCAAAGATCTGAGTTGTTTCAGAACTTCCTCCATCAGGCAGCTGGCAGGACCTGAAGGATCATATGCAAGAAGCTGGGGAGGTCTGTTACCCAGATGTGCAGAAGGATGGCATGGGATGGTTGAGCATCTCAGAAAAGATATGCGATACCCCTTGCACAAACTGGATGACACCAAGTTCCACTCTCATGAGGGTGAACACTGTACATCTGTATCCAGAGAGAAGCAATAGCTAAGGGTACTCACGGCCTTAGTCTGGATCAAGAGGCTGTAAATCTTCACACCAAAGAGAAGTTTCCCAAACTACTACTCCCCTTTTAGGCCCTACTGAGCAAACAGGTGATAGGAATTTGTTCTTTATTTTTTAGTGTGAACTGAGCTGCTACAACCAGATTGACGATTTAGTGTCTTAGGAAATTTCAAAAAAAATTATTTTAAGGGGAAAAAAACAATTACGTAATTTCTACCAGGGCCATATTAGTAGTGAAACACTTGAAACTGCTGAAATTGTTGTTTTAGCTCATAAACAAGCTGCATATTTTTCACCCCTGATTATGAGCGAAAAATGAGCACTGTATGTCTTTGTGGGTTGCTATGCTTGTTACCCTCCCGAGAGGGACCGGGTCTCCGGGAGCAAGGTAAGCACGGGCGGGCTTGTGCTTAGTCCCCGGGAGCGAGGTAAGCACGGGTGGGCTTGTGCTTAGTAACTGGGAGCGAGGTAAGCAC